GTTGTGTCGTGTACTTTTACAGTTGAGTGGACATGTAAAAATGAACACAGGCGTTTGTGAGGTCACATGGCCAAAGCGGGTGGTGGTGGTGGCGGTGGTGGTACATTCAGAGGGATTAATGAACCAGTGGTTTCACGTGAAAAGGGGGGACGTGTGGTGGAAGCTGCGAGGACAGGGTTATTGGACGTGAATCAACACGATTCACTGCAAACTACCAAGTAAACAATCGCGCCTGCCACCTCTAGACTTATTTCTTCTTTGGGTACTTCGCGTGGTATAGGGCCCAATAACCTTATCAGTGACAGCATGATTTAGTAGCACGTTCACCGACACTGCGTCATTTCCTAAGCAGAGTTTACGGCCTTACGCCAGCTAATTCTTCTATTCATCAACTTACGTTGTATCTCACACCTCGAATCAAAACACAAAATCATATATAATTAAATATTCTATATTAACGCATACAGAGCCTATGTGAGGGCCTTTCCCACTGAATTGCTGATTTTCTGTTTCAAATACGATAGCCTTCAAATTGTTGGTATTACTAAAGGCATCCATAAGACGAACTAAGTCGAGTTTCTTGTTCTGCTGAAAGATGACAACCATGAACAAAAAATGCGGGATGGATTTGTCGGAAATCTTCGGGATGGTTTACCACTAATCGGCATTTTGTTCTTATGCACACAACCCTCCCTAATCATGCGACTTCAGTTGGTCACCCATGCATGGCGCCCCACTGATAGCTCCATCAGTGTACTGCCCTATGTATGTTTTGGGTCAAGGCCACTCATGACTCACGTAAGCTGTGCATGCTGAAGCGCCATTCGACCTTTGACTGAGACAGTAGCGGTTCTCCGCACGAGATCCTGCAGTGGAAGGTTGGGGTGTGTATAACAAAGGAGACTTGGGTACTGGATTCCTGAGCATGTGATTATGCTTGCGCTCACAAACGTAGCGGAATTGGTGTCACTGAAGCCTCGGAAATAACTGAGGTTATTTGTGTTTATCCGACCATGGATTGATGACAACAAGTATGCTTAACAATGAAGTTTGAATACGGTCTCCAAATGAATTACAGACTACTTGGGCGTTCCCATATGAGGAACGACGCTCAACGGCTACCACATTGGCTGAGGGCGTGCTTTTGATCAGCAATGAGTCACACTCCCCACATATATTTTATGTAGTTGACTGCTTTAGTGAACCATCATGGTATCTATAATTTTCCGTAACTGATGTGAATTACGATGAGGTAAGCTGGTGAGTATGGGTCAAAACGATGAGTAGTAGACTTCAGTCACTTTGAAGCTCTACTGAATTGAAAGTCCCATTGGTTGTTTGAAGATCGTATTAGGCAATGGATGCTTGCGTTACGTGGTTCGCGATTAATACTGAATAACCGAGTCAACGTAATTGCCGTTGAAAGTGAACGGCAATCACCTTTATTTTTGTTTCTGCGTAAAACAGCAACCCACGAGGTACTCGTCTGACGGACATTCACTTGCCACCCACAGGCCTTAATGATAGTAAAAATTATTAGTGAGCAGATGGCAATTAGTATCTACGACGGTTGTTACCACCCTTAAACAAATGTAACCATTGGATATTTGGATTGTCTGCACCACACGAAGTGACATTCTGCGATCTGAATGCTCTCTGGTGCTTGTCAAGCAATTGTATAGGCCTGTTACCGCCTTATAAAATCGTCGTCCCACGACCCATTCTGCTCTGGCCGATGTGGTTGTCTGCCTCTAACGAACACCAAATCATTCAGACTTGAAGATATACTTAATCCAACCATTTGAGCGGCTGATGCCATAAGGTAGCCACTTACCAAACTGCAAAACCCTGCAACCAGTGCACCGCCAAATGAGGGCCTAACCGCTTTACAGAGACCCACATTGACCCAGTCAATGGACGTCAACATATCTGACTGCCATGAATCCTTCAAAATCAATCGAACGGCTCATTTCACACGGGGCAATGGCTGCCAAATCCCTAAGCGTACCTTGGCAACGCCTATTCCAGATAACTATGCGACTTCGAATACTGAATACCACGACAAATTGAGTCGCTCCATAGCATGGCCATTGATACCCCGAGCAAATCAAGAAAAAATGACATTTTGGAACTTTTTATTTGGCATAGCGATGGAAGCGAAATCTGGATTTTGCCTACAACGAAAGTGTGTTGCGTTAAGAAATTTTACAAACTCCAAATCGCAAATTAATATTCCCCTGTAATTACACGCTATTTTAGCGAGCACTCAAACACGGGGACGCACAGGTGTTGGACTGTAAGTAGGTCTCGGAAAAATTACCAAGCCGTTGCAAAGACCGTTACTATCGCCTTCCTGAGTAGCCAGTGTCAATACCAACACGGGGATCTTAGAAGGCTAACAGCATTAACTGCAAGCTAGGAACGTACCAGAAGCAGGGAACAATTGGAACGGCAATAAAACACTGGTTGCTGTCTGTGCATCCCTAAAATACATTAGATTCATGAGGCACTGAAAATGGTCAGACAGAAGTGAAACCACACGTAAGTAGGAATAGCGTAAGTGTCATCACTTAGTACTCACCACATTCTTCGGCATCCAAATAAAACTAAAAAGAAAGAAATAAGTTCCAGCCAATCTTGCAGAGGTTTTACGAATTCAGATACATTTTATTGCGTAATCACGATCATAGTGGTGCATGGTCATCATATCAAAAGGAAACTTACGGTACATAAAGGCAGTCGAAAAACTGGACACCCGGAGCAAAAGAACGGTCACTAAAATAGAAAAACGTTGGACTAAAAGAAGCCTCAGACAGCGACAAGCATCAAGGAGTCAGACCGCCCGTCGGAAATTTTCATCAGACGCTACTCACGTGAAGCAACCTGGCGTGAACCAACTTTGCCTGGTTAATTCAAACAAAGGCAGACAAGAGAAACATGACATACACAAAATTGGAATTAATTAATTGTTAAGATATTTTTTTTATTATTTTAAGCATTATTTAGGTGTACAAATAAATCTGAGTTGAGGTTTGGATTAAGGAAAAAAATTACATTGTGGAAATAAGTGATTGTCCACTAGATGTACATTTAAACATTTTAAAAGAATATTTTATGGCAAAAAATTTCGTAAATATTGACACTGTCCTTTCTGCTATTCATTATTTTATTATTGTTATTCTGATTATTTTGAAATTTGATAATTTGAGAGCCTATATTTGTAACAGAAATTTATTTGCTGTAGTAAATTCTCAGAGAATGCCTTTTGGCTGAATCCATTTTAGAAGGTTTTTTGGTTAATTGGTTTTTTTTAATGAAGCATGTTTTAATTGGATTCAATGACTTTTTTGGGTGTTAGTAAATTAATAAAGTATGCAAGAAAAATAAATTTAAAGGTGCATTTTGCGCAAATTGCTTTAGTTGAAGAAACGATCTCTAGCATATGATTACAAACAAATTGGCGGTGCCCTTAGTTATATATAAGCAAGCGAGATGTACAGCAAAACCGATTGCTTATTCCCTTTTGTTTTAGTATTTCGATCTGAAAAGGGCCGTTTATGAGTGATAACACGGACGGTATTGAGGTTGGGCCTTGCTTACGATATGCATGATGGGACTGACGATTGTAATCCTCATTTTTGGGTGAATGTGTAATTTTTTTAGGTATTGTAGACCCCTTGAACTCTAATGTTATTTCTGGAAGTGCATTGACTACCGAAACCCCTCATGGTCCTGTTGCTTCCGAAATCCTGGATTCTCATGTTACTGAAGTGTCGACGGAAGCTGAGTATGAAGTGGATAGAGACGTGAACGACAGTTTGAATGATGATATGGAGAAGAGGGATTCGGCTGATGCACCTCTGGAAAATTTTGGTGGCGAGGATACGGACGAAGACGATGATACTGTTAACGTTATAATTAAGCCATACAGCAAGGGGAGTATCTACAAGACTGGTGCTACATATCAAGCTCGATCTCAATCAGCTACCGTACAAGGTTAGGATTTTCAAGAATTTTTTTCCGTGTTAAGGGCCTAGTTTTTACTAACTTTTTCGCGTTTAAGGACAAAAAACTCTGCGCCAAGGTGTAAACATAAATGATCCTGGCAGCATACAGGGTGTTCCGACGATCGAATTTAGTATTTCGTCCTTGGGAGAGGAGGAGAAGCCCTGGAAAAGACCTGGTGCTGATATCACCGATTATTTCAACTACGGTTTTACCGAAGACACTTGGATACAATATTGCGAAAAGCAGAAGATTCTTCGTCAGGAATATGCTAATACGGCCCTTAAACCCGTCGTTGTTGGGGCTGCTGCTAGTTTCGGTATGACAAATCTTTCCTCTAGTACTCACCGTGGAGGCGTCCGATATCCCCACCAACAGTCCCACAAACACAGCAAAGATATCAATGTTCTTGGTGGTCGGGGTCGTTCTCATTCAAATAGCGATGAAGATTCCGAAAAGCAAAATGGCTTTTTGGGGCCGGGTCAAGTCTTTAGTGTTCCCCCACCCGGTTATGCTCCACCTTCTGGTGGTGACGCTCTAAGCCAGTTCAATAACGTTGCTTCTGCCACTGCGTTCAGCTTGCCACCACCCGGATTTACCAATACGTCGGTGCCCCCTCCAGTTCTGGGATCAGGTTTTTCGAACCAACAAGCCGGCCATCAATGGCCACAGTCAAGCATTGGAAGTGGACTAATTTCACTATTTTCCGGGACTCCTGTTCGGTCTAGTAGCGGAAGGAACCATCACTCCGACAGCCATAGGGATAGAACTCCCGAAAACATATTGTATGCTTAATTTCCATTCATAACTGTATTTAATTTTGAGTAAAACAATGTTTAGTTATAGGATCCTTGTTAACCATGTTCTGCGTCAATTTTGTTGAAATTTTATTGCATATAATCTACACATCAACACATGCCTTGAATACTTTACGCATTTAAAGACTAAGTGAGTGTTTCTTATCAATACATTTAAGCTTTAACTGTAGTTGCTTGATCTATCCGGTTGATCGGTGTATCGCCATCTAAGATCCTTTAGCCGATAAACATATTGTATCAAAATTTTTATTCAGCGTGTTTTCATAATGTTTAGTTCAGATGAGGAGTACAGCGAGTCTCGTCGGGCGCGTTACCGGTTAGATGAAGAACAGGAGGGTCGCTACGATCGGTGAGTTTCCTGCTTGCTATAGATTCTGTGTAGAGTCATCTGTTCAAGGTAATCCGGAATAGCCTGTCCTAAATTTTTTTCGTTTGTCACGTTGTGTTTTGATGAATGTCCTGTCTCTAATTGGAGAAAATTCATCACAGTATTGTGTATCTTGTACTGGTAGAGTCTGGATTTGAAGAAGTCATAATGAGTTCGTCGTTAGATATGTCCAGTAATTTTATTTGACTTCCTTGTGGTCTAAATATTAATGTCTAGAAGCGTGCCATTGGAACTCCGTGTGACTGAATTTTTCAACGTGTATCGAGTTACACTTTTTCACAAGTGCATTTTGTTTTTCCCACGCTTTTATTCCTTTTTCCGTCAAGTGACAAACATCGGTCGAGTCACAGGAGCCGGTCGCGTAGTAGAGACCGCCACTATAGTGGACGAAGTAGGCGGTACGTCGTGTAATATATTTTATATTTAAATAGTCTTTTTTATAACGCATAGTTTCTTGTTGGTTTAAAGTAGCGATTCGTTTCACTGGTATAGCCTAATTTGTCAGCTTTGGTTACATCAAGTTAGTTCTCGTTGGGTAGCGTTTATTGAATAAACTTGCAATACTTGATGTAAATGTTTAAAGTAAATGGAATTTCGTGTGTATAGCGCAACTATTTTATTCGAAATTCTTTTTCATAGGTGTAAACGTCGGATTACTGTTTTACTAGGTCACCACTCAGACGAACGTATCTCTTGTTCACTATGCCAATATCTTTCGATTATTTTCGCTTCATCCATGAACATTTGTAAATTCGAATAATATTTACACCTTCGATAATCCAGTTATTTAAATCGGATGAAAATTCACGCCCATTTTTACAATTGTGGCCATAACGCTGAGCTTCGCTCACGTTGTACCTGTATGCAAATGAAGAAATCCTTTGTCCAACTTTCGGTCATCAATGTTTTATTAAAGGAGTAAATATTTTGTCACTTCGTTCCTCCCCCAGCCATCATGAAGAGTCTGTGTCTTCACGCGATTACAGTCGTCATGGCGATCGCTCCTCTCGTAGACGTGCCTCGCGCGAGCGGCGTCGTGATCGTTCACGCGATCGAGACCACTCTCTTGCCCCTTCTGTCAATACAGAGTCTAACGCCCCTTCTCGATCCTCCAGGGGAGAAGCAAGGCGGCGGGGTGATAGGGAGTCCCGCAGGAGTCATCATCACCACCGCCATTCCTCGCGTCACCGTTCTCCCTCCCAGGTTAGAGGCAGCCAGGGTGACGGTGGCGAACCAGGGGATACGCAGGCCCCTGCTTCCATTCCTGCCATAGATCCCCTTGAGGCTGCTTCGGCAGCCGCTGCCGACATTAGTGAAAAGATTCGAAGAGCGAATGCCGGGACTAATGAGGCCGCTGTTGGGTAGACACTCTGGAACCCTGCCTATTTCATTGTTAATCAGTGCAGCTTTGTACATATCAATTATTCCAGTTTAAAAGATCATACTTAATTGTCGATTGTCCGTTCTATGTCCTGGTATACACGTCTTGCACCAGGTGCAAGCACTGCTTTGTGTGACACCATGAATCTAGATGCGGATATGTGCCATTGTTTCCCAGCCGATTTCGGTTGATTGTTATATTCGTTCGTGTCAAATCCTTTAGAAGGTATATTTTGAAAAAGTTTCAAGCGAACGTAGATATCGTCTTTTTACGTCTTCATCTGCGGGTTTTTACTCAGTTCTTGTGGTAATACATTTGCTGCATCTATCGATTGAAATGTAATTCTGATCAGAATGTTTGGTTCATTTCGCGAGTCTTGGCAACTTGGGTTAACCACTTTTTCAAGACGATGTTTCTCAAAAACTCGCTCAAGTTATTAGCCGATGCCTATCAGCAACTGCCCTGGGTTCGCAATCCGAGGCCATCACCCACTTAATACTCGCTGACGTTTTTTAGAGACTATTTAGCAAAACCTCACCCGGGTTTAAATTTAGGAACTAAATTCTCTCCAAACGTAAAACTTATCGTGCATTAAAACAACAGTCTTCGGTCAATAGGACAGCACCCGAGCTCATCTTCATTAATAAAATGATGAATTTAATTCCTCCAATCGCTCCCAGTTGTGTTAAAGTCAATGCCGCATAATTTCCCCTGCTGAATGTATTCCACCACACTTGGTTATGCATTTCATGTCATTTCCACCAGAGTGACGGATCCGAAATGGAAACACCTGCGATAAGTAAAGAGCAACCCACCCTAAATTTTGTTTTTTGCTAACATCCCTTTAAAGTACGTGCAAATTGAAGAACTGGCCTTAGCTATGGGCCAGTTTAGAGTCCCTCTTTACATGTAACAAATTTTGTTTATGCTTAAAGAATACCTTAATTTCACTTGTCGAATGTCGGTTATTCTTGGCATGCCCAAACCTACTCAAGACTGCCTGAGATCAGATCCCTTCCCACAACATTCTAACGTTTATCTTCGAGGTAATTGCTGTGGAAGTTCTTTGCTGTTTCAAAAACGCCTACTAGTTACCTCACCATCGGCATCCGACGCCATTTATGGACTAGTTCAAAACCATAAAAAACGGTGTTTACACGAAGAATGCATCACCCACTGCCGTTGAGCTAACTTTGAATCGGCGGTGTTAACCCCAACAGAAATGTAGGAATTTTAGCTTGCCGCTACGTTGATGTGAAAAAGAACAGCCTGTATAACTGGAGGTGAGCATTACTGAGCCACAGCCTCCACAAAAAAGTTAGCGGCGATATAGGTAAATTTTGAAGGATCCTGGATCGTGTGTGAGAAAAGGAAGTGCACGACCGAAACGAAGCCATGGAAAGTAAAAGCAGCGCAACGTGTACGAATATTCGAAGTCAAGGGGTGAACACCTTTTCCCATACCTTGCACAGTCTGCTGTGATTTTGAAACCACGCTTGCAACAATGCATGCCTAGCGACATTATAGCCTTATTGTTCATTGACACCCATAGAACTCGGGTAGAAAGACGGTGAGTAGGTGATGGGACGAGGTGACTAAAGCCCTTCACTCGTTTGCTAACCATAGTGCGTACGTGGAAGTGTCTACTGCGTTATTATGAAAAGACAGGGGCAGTTGTGCGTATGAACGAATGTAAGGTTTCATCAAATAAATTTTATGACTTCTACATCGATTCAATTGATCAAGATTGTGCGCCTTAATACTACTTGAAAAAAAGTTTTGTGTGACCACTTATGCTAATCTTCATTGGTACGATCAGAACGCGAATATCTAGTGAGACCACTAATTAATCTCGATTACTCTACGGGTCCTTCTCCCTCCTATTAGTCGTCAGCAACTTCCTCCACTTTTCTAGCGTGTCGATTCTTTAAAAAGTCTACGAATGAACTGTTATTTACCACAGGGGAATAAATAGTAATACGGAGTCTTTGGTATCATAACCCGAGTTAGACCTGGGTGTCTGATGTCACTGTTGTGGCTCTTACTGATGCCCGAATACGTGGTGGTAAAATCGCTTGAAGTTAAATAAATCAGGATAACAACAGGTGAGTAGGATTGATCTAGATTTTGCACAAAACAATGATATTACGAGAATCCGAAGATAATTCGTAAACCGTGCCAGAAAAGGGAATTTCAAGATACATTGCTGCCGCTGCAGACTGTGATACAAAATGGGTAGTGGCCAGGCAGACGGAACCGGATGCATAGGTCAAATTTGCAGCATGTTGTCGCTGAATGCAAACTGTAGTTCTGGGCCAATTTTGGCCTAGTTACGACCAGGGTTTCCTCAATTAAAAAAAACTGCTTTCTTTTTAGTACACAACACTTCGAGGTATTAAACGTGCTGTCGATGAAATGGCAGACGAAATTGGATGCTTCACAAAATGCTTACACTACATGATGCCCTGAATACGTTGTATTGATGGAAGAAATTAAGTAAGGGAGTAAAACGATTTGGATTGAGGGCACTACGAGAGTGAGAGGTTCACCTAACCGAAATTGGGACATTTGTCAACTGACCACTTACAAGTACATGTTGACAGGCGAGGAATGCCTTTGATGCTTGGCACAGGCATGACTGCATACAAGAGGAAACCAAGGGAGTAAAGCCGTCACAGGGCAAGTGTATTTTGCTAAACGCGATCAAAACAGAGTCAATTAATGACATCATCTTTATTTCTGCAAGAATGCCTACAAACGTGTGGCATTATGCCAATGAATAATGAATATTGTAAATTTAGGGGATTCAACTAAAGACGACGGTAGGTTGAAGCAAATTCTACCAGGTTCTCCATCTTGGCTCCCTACGCTCCAAAGCGTCCATACCCGTGTACTCACGTCTTCATCGCGCACGACGCCACCCGTCGGTCACTTTGAATCACCTATGATAGACCTTTCAGAGTACGTCCTTTAGCGACAACAAAAGGCCCTTTGTATACCATAATTGATTAATAATCCCTCGTAGTTACGTAGAGCCTTCATCCAAGCACGTACCTCAGAGGCATCTCGAATGTGTTATCCCTAAGCAGAGAAAACATCAATTACCATAATGGGTGAGGGAAGCGCAAGTTTGGGAACAAACTCTCTGATGTGTTCCAAGTCGGATCACTGTTCACCAGACATTGGCAACACAAAACAGGCCAGGTAAAGCAAATGAGTAGACATAAGTGGAATCGCGGACGTTATATGTGCATCGTCGAACTAGCCGGCAAATAAGACGCTGCGTCTCTCAGTCGCGTGAAGCCGACATTTCTCGACGCAACGACCTCGCCAACAAACAGGTCCCATTCACTGTTACACCCCTATCTACCCCACACTAAACAGAGGTCCGCTTGGCCGATCCCATTTTTGCCTGAGTAAGCAAACATCGATCGTCCCGAGCGTTCTGACAACAACCTGTTATGGGCCGCAGCATGTGGTCTTGAACGACGCCGGGGCCACAGAATTAAACCTGGCCCTATTACGTTTCCCTGATACCCGCGATGAAGAAAATGATCGGAGACGACGTGGACACAACCGGTTACTTCAGAGCTGAACCTTGGTGGTGGCGTTGTGATGTGTGTGAGGTTTGGGCGTGTGTATGTTTACCTCAGATGCGTGAGTCATACATGCGCTGACATCGAGACCTAGGTGTGAGGATAATTCAAGATAAATATTCGTGTGGGTGAAGGGGGATTTGAGAATCCACGCGGTTGATGACATGCTGCGAAAAGGGGAACCCTGTGTCGGAGTTGGAGCGACTGGATTAAGGGGTATGAATAAACACGATTCACAACAGCTCTCCCCCTTAGAGAGAGGATTTGGCTAACCTTTTCGTCCACTGAAAGGTAGGCCGTAGGTTTAGCTTGATTGGGATGTGGCTGTCGATGTGGGTCGGACTGAGAATTTTCTCTCCCTTAGCAAAATAAATCAGCTAACCTTTTCTTCCAATGCGGATTCTGAAAGGTAGGCGATAGGTTTCTGCAATAGA